CTGACTTTTTGTTTTTTGGGGTTTTGCTTAAGCGAGTTTGCGTGCATGCCCACGAACCAAGGCGACTTTGGAAGTCACTCCGGACTCCAAGCAAGAGCGCTGTGGCAGCATCAGTCAGGTTTACTAACAAATACTTGTAGGGGTCTAAGTCGTGGCTGTACCAGGATCACTACAATCATCACGTCGAATCCTAGGTTGGAGGTAAAAGGCATGAGTCACCAGAATGAGGGGTTTATTGTATACAGAACTCTTAATTGCTGTCTCAGGTGGTAATGGCCACTAGCGAAGCCAGGGCTGGTCCTGACTGTGTCCAGCCAGGCCTGAGAGTGTCGGCGGCGTGTTGTGTGGGGTTATGACAGTTGCTTTTACATGACTGTGAAGCGAGTTCAAGTGTTATGCTATTGGTGTGATGCAATTGCCCGAGGGGATGTTGCCTGCACAGGCCTCCAGCTGCGTTGGCCAAAGGGGTGGTGTGTGAAGTGGGCCTTAGGGAGCCGCGACTACTTGGGCACACATGTGCGCACGTATGTCTGTGATTGGAAGTCGGTCAAGTGGTTTTCAGGTCACCAAGTGGACCAGCCGCCTGTGAAGTCAAATGACCTTGGCGCAAGGAGCATTGGGAGGGGGAACAGCATTAATGGGCCATCCGCCACACACTAACATGCTGGTGGAGGAGAATTTTAAAATATATATTTGGAACTTATTTGGTGTCCTCAGTCATCCAACTGTCAGTTACAGGAGAGAATAACTGGCAGTTGCAAATTGTCATTGCTTGACTGGGAAGGACTACCAGGCAGGTGAACTTGTCTTCACTGACTCCTTTTAGTGGTAATACCTGTGTCCTATTTGAAACGAAGGCTTTGCGGAATGGTTGAGTAAAGGTCATGAAGGGCAAAGGTGCGATGATAAACTATGAAAACTATGATTTCCTGTGTCATATTTCAGCAGCTGTTTTATTTTGGCGAACTTTCTGTAGAGCTAAGGCAAGATTCCGCGAGCATAGCCCACTGTTTAATTCGTCGGTCGAGGAGTTTCGTACCTCGTAGATCTTCCGTCAGATATTTATATTGCATTCGTACTTCACCAAATCGAAGTTGCCCGTAACATTGCATAAGATTAGCTTAGAAGGATACATCAAAATGCCCTCCTACCTCAAACTATTAATGTTTACTGAACATGACTTTATGGATA